TCTTGTTCATCAATCGGAAATCAAGACAAACCGGGCACTACGGTGAGACGTGAAAACACCCGATCCCATTCCGACCTCGATATGTGGAATCGTCTTGCGCCATATGTACTGAAATTGTTCGGGAGACATGGTCCAAGCCCGGCGAATAAATTCAAATTTCAAAGATTCTGCTCGTGAGCGTAATGGTATAAGCCTGCCTGACTGTGCTATAACGTAAGTAACTCAGTGCTTTCAAACCTACTGGTCTCTTCCTCGAACCCAGTATTGCTGCCCGGCCCATCACCTTGATATGATGCACACTCGGTAAGATCTTACCATTACCCCTTAAATATCCATATTCTGGGAACCTTGGACGATAGCTTTCCCCCGATCAACCGCCTATATTCTCAGTCGGCTTGCCAATCAACTGACCCGCTTTCCTTGGCTAAAGTAAAGGGGATCGATCCCAGACGAGAATGGACTTCTCCGTAATGTAATAGAAGAGTCACAGTCTCTTCTCGACCAGACGAGGGGGTGACTAACCTTGGTTGGGAGGTCGCCCTAAGGTTACGATCCGTTGGGTTGGAAAACAAACCTGGATCCTATTTCCTCCAAGAGCCCTACCGATTGAGAAGGAGATTAAGTGGAAAACCACTGAGATCGGATCTCTCACGGAAAAGGTGAGGCCTTAATTTATGTCTTTCTTGTACCTAACCAATAAAAGGGAACCATGACCATCTTTCTTATGAGACTTCTTTCTTTACTCGGAAGTGCTTTCGGTGTTTTTATAGAAAATGCATTCGGACGTTTTCTAGGATCAGAAGGAACCGCTATAATGACCACCCCAGAATTTCTCCTTCCTTTATTCGTGCTTGTTGTAATTTTAATTATAATTTATCGAATTCTACTTTCGAAAAAAAAAAAGAGTTTTCTTCTATTATTCCTAATTTATATTGTAGTTTTATTTTTATGTTGTCTCTTTCGCTTCTTCATTTTAGAAAAGATTGTAGCTTTTTTAGGAGTGACAACAGCCTTATCCACTTTGATTTGGAATGTTTCTTGTTCTGGATCGAATTCGAATGTCCATTCAGGCGGAGAATCCGGGGAAATAAGTCTTCCTCCCTTGGAGTCTTCCTCCCGCCCCGAGTCCTCGTCTGGTTCTACTTCTCTTGAGAATCATGCCTCAAGCTCAGAAAATACAGAAAAAGACTATTTCTCCCCTTCGTCACAATTTTCGTCCCCATCTACTTCCACGTCCACTCCCGAAAACCAATCCATTGATAGTTCTCCCAACACCGAGCAGAAGGAGAGCTTGGACTTTCTCTCGGACGAACTGCGAAGCTTTTGGAAGACTGAAATAATTAGAGCCGTACACGAAAGATTAGCAGAAATTGATCCACAAGGGAATATCGGACGGATTCGCGACGGAGAAATCGTGGATGCTTTGAGGCTCGATTCCCCCCTTCGAACGAGGCAAGAAATGGAAGACATTTTGAAAAATGTTTGGAAAAGACCATGGCCAAGTTACGAGGAGGCCGATAGAACCTCCATCTATCCCCGCATATGGGACCTTTTCGAAAAAAACAAAAGACCGGATATTTGATATTGATTTCATGAGGTAGAGGGACCTTCCACAATAAAAAAGACTTCCATCAAACAGTGGCCTTGGATTATGGATGAGGAAGACCCCTAACGCGGTTGAGGGGCAGCTGACCGAAAGGAAAGCGGGTAGGCCGCCTGCTTATTATTGTGAAGGTGGCACTCAGAAAACCGGGGTGCCGCCCTAATTACAAAATGCGAGGTACCGACGCCGGACGGGCAGACCTCTAAGGATCCGGTAAACAGGGTAGCCCCTGGTACGCTTGGGGCTGGATTGAATCCTTTTATCGGTCAGGAGAGGGGCCAAAGTAAGACAGTGAAAGAGAAAGCACTTCACGTAAAGAGCAGAACTTCTTTCACGTACTGAAAGGCAGGCCTTTTTCATGGTGATTTTTCTTTTTTTATTTCTTTGGAGAAGGGGAATGGTGAGGCGGGCCCCATCCACCAGATTACTTTAACTTTACAGACTGGAATGAATCCCAGGCACAGGAACTGGCTAAAAAAAGGGCTCTTATCGCATCTTATTGACTCAAGATTGGCTCGCTCTTTCCGCTCGCTGGTTTCACTGCGTAAACGTCCTATCCCTCTCTCTGGTCTAGCTTAGTCAACTTCCTCTGACCAGCTGATGACGTCAACTTAGTCGTCTCCAGTTTGTCGAGCTTATTAAGCTGCCTCTGACTCGCCGATCCGGTCGGTGATGTCACTTTTTGCCAGGGATGTGGGCACAGGCAGGTGATCTTTACTTTCTTTAGCAGCTTCAGCGGAGTTCGAATCTGCACTTCTAGCTTTCGAGGCTAAGCCACCACTACTTAAGTTTTTAAACGTTTTTCAACTAAGAGTTCTACGCCCGGCTCCCCCCTCTGTGTGAAGTCCGTTTTGTTTAGCTTTCTCCGCGTAGATCGGAGCTCACTCCTTTTGGTCCGGGTATCTGCCCTCTGATTCGGTGGAGTAACTGCCCGCCCTGTATCTGGTGGTGCCTGTCTGGCTGGCTTCGGCTTGCTGAACGTTGTTATTATTCTTTTTAGGGTCTGGTGGTCTTGCTGCAGTCAGCGCTCGCCTCATTCAATCCCCACCTCTCTGTATTGCTAGCACAGAAGGCTCTCTCTGTTCTTACTACCTACGGGATAAAGCCAAGCCATGGCCTCCAGGGTTGGTTGTCTTACTCGAGGTTCTGCCCGCTCCATCGATATCTTTCTTACTACTTTCCTTGCCTTGGCAAAGTCTACCTGTACGTTACGATTTCAAGCCTTTCCGAACGCCCGTTAGAACTGAACTTTGAAACCGGTAGCTTTGATGCCCGACGCTTCGTCATGCCAACCTTGAGCCCCTTTATTTAGCCCTGTACTGTGGTGAAACCGGAACTTATGGCTGAGTGTTTTTAGCCGCTTTTGACTCGGAAAAGCTGTAAGCCTTTTATGCCCTACTAGCCTTTTATGCCCTAGCCTTCCCTAGCCTTGAAAACGATTATGCTTTCGTAATTAGTTCCAGCTTAGCTTCGTCATGCCCACCGGAAGGAACGCCTTCACTCACGCCAACAACAACAACAACCTCTGCTTAAGCAGCCTACCTTGAACCAGCGAAAGTTAAAATCACATTTCTTTGCCTGAGAGAGAAGAGCGTCAGCCCGCACGGTCCCTGTGAGCAGCGGATTGCTTCCGCGTTGAGCCCTTGGCACTGACCTTTGAGACATCGTTCCCGTAGCACCTTATACCTGACCTTGGAATGTCACTCTGCCTCACAAAGATCGTCTCTCTGGCACTTCCGCTTCCGGGGTTGGGTCAAAGCTATCGGTCGATCTCGTGGCGAGCCTTCCCCACCTACCTTACCTGGACCACCGTTAGCCCACCAACTTCCTTTGCAACCTGAACGCCCAACAACTTCCACTTCCACTGGGACTTGACCACCAACAGGCACTGGCTCACCTCACTACGCTCCGAAAGCTTCACCGTACTTTTCAGTTCAGCACGCCACTACTAGTTATTAAACCCCTTTGGGCATGGTCGGGGTACCTTTATCTCTCGTTATCAATTGAATCAGTCAAGAATACAATCAAGCGTTTATCGCCTTTGATCGCTCCCGGCTCGCTTTCGGGGCGAGCCTGCACTCTCGCTTCTCACTCGCCTACGAAAGAAAGCAAAAATACTAGACTCGACTTTTACACCTGCGCTTCCTCACCTGCCTCTCCACTCGTGCCTACTTTCACCAACCGTCCCCTACTCCATCCCTCTGCTTGGCTCTAGCCTTGTCCGGACCTCCACCTCTCTGAGTTCTCGCCCCCTGAGTTGCGTTCTTTGTCTCGTCCATCTGAGGCCGACGGCTAGGAAAGCATACCCTGATTGGATCGACCGAGTTCATCAGTTTCCAAAGGGGTATAAGGTGCCTGAGTTTGTTCTCTTTTCCGGTGAGGAGAAGAAGTCGACTATTGAGCATATAGCTCGGTTCTCGGTCCAGTGCGGGGAAGCTAGGTCCAAGGACTACCTCAAGTTGAGGCTCTTTGCCAACTCTCTTACTAAATCGGCCTTCCCCTGGTATATGAACATCCCTCCAAACTCTATTAACAGTTGGTACGATCTGGAAAGCAAGTTCCATGAGCAATTCTATAGGACAGACCCAGACATTCAAGTTGCCAATTTGGCAAGATTGACTCAGCTCCAACGGTCGAATCGCGAGGTTTAGGAAGCTTTACCCAGACTAAGGGGTACGTGACTCTTACGCACTACGGGTTAGTGACTCGTTAACACTCCCCGTTCCGTGGGCTCAAGAACTCGATGCTGATGAAACTCCT